CCCCCCCCCCCCCCCCCCCCCCCCCCCCCCCCCCCCGGCTGCACAGTTCATCCTCTATCCTACTCTCCTCATGGCATTACATAAGACCAGATCAGTTTGGAATAATGGCAGCAGCAACACATTGCACTCTTGGCACCCACCATAAAAGTACCTCTGATGTTGCGTAAGACGACGAGTTCAGGGGCATGTCTGAATCTGTCCAGCGAGTAACAACTGTGATGTGTAGTAAGTTTACTAATGAGAGATGGTTTCAAGTGCTGTGATCTTAACGTATCCTTGAATATTTATATAACTGCAAGCACATTAGCTGTTTAAAACTAGGACAAATTGATTTTGAGGGTCCTGGAAGGTGAATCTTGTTAAGCGAGACAAAAGTTACACATTCTGTCTGGAACATATGAGACCTCAGGCTAATCCAACATCGGGAGGTTGACCTGGCTACATCGTTCATGCGGGATCAGCAGAACTCCGGTGGGTCGAGAGGAGGTAGACTCTGCATTTACATCAATGATGCTTGGTGCTCAAACACAGTGAAAGTTGATGGTCAATGTTAAGATTCCAACCATATTATCTGCTCAGAGAATTGTTTTTGTAGCTGCTGTTTGAATTTGATAAATACACTACTTCTGTGTGGGCTACAACTGCATGTTTTTGTGAAACCTCCTGATGCATAATCCCTGAAATACTTGAACAGTTGAATTCATTAGCAACAAAATGCACCTTTGCTCAAGTCACTGCACTCTCTACATGAAAAGGGCGTTCCCCATCTATTTTCGTCCAGTGTAGAACGTGCGGAAGGCGTTCCCAAATGTACGGTAAATATAAGGAGAAGTTAATCATTTTAGTGCAGCGCTACCGTAACTTGAAGTTTCGCAGATTGATACGAATGAGTTAGTTTGACTATTTCCACCACTGCAACGCCTCTACCCTTTTCTCCTGTTTTGGTAATGTTAGCTGGCTTGTTACAATGGCCAGCTGTTTGAGGAAACGACTGAGCCTTGTGAGGTCTTATGAAATGTTATGAAGCAATGGGCTTGGAGCTGAGAGCCACAGACAGGGTAGGGAGGTCAGACAGTATTGATAAACAGACACATCGTTGGATTAGGTCTTTTCACGAGAAATGATATATTAGGTGATATATTTTTTAAAATCTCGTCTCTGCTGAACACGTTAAACCTCTAAATGAAACAGCAAAAGATGGTTTCCTGTGTAACCGCATCCTGCAGCTTTGTGATATGATGTAATGTCATTAAGAGCAGCCGTCGTCCGGAATCATTCATACCCCCCCCCCCCTCCCCCTCTGCTCCAAAACAATTAAATACACACTGGGATCTAAATTAAATGTAATCCTTGGTCGTCCTTGCAAACCGGAGCTTACACAACATCAGGACGCCGGTTTTGGATCCAATTTTTGGTTCCAGAACAGAAGGTTGATTTAATTACATTACTCGGCAAAATAAACAATTCCTACCATTGAGTTTTCATAATCTGATTCTGATAATCCAACTGAAAACAACAGCTAAATGACTATAACTAAAAGGTTACATTCATCAGTTCAAAGCGCAGAAAGCCGAACACAGATATCCGATAAAGGACAACGGATTACTGTGAACTGTTTTCAGGCTCTGATCTTATGAGTCCAATCAAAAAAAATAGGATTGAGAAGACACGTGTCCCCATAGTCTTAGTCATTGTTGTGCTCATGTGTTCATCCTCATGCTCTTAATGAAGAGGGTTCCTGCCTCATTAGCTGCTTCTCCCCCATGTGTTGAAGCAGTATGAGCTCATTTGTCAAAGTCAGCAACTTCCACGGCTGTCATAGATTTTTTTGGGGGCTTACATTTGCCACCAGTAACATAATCCACTGGCATAGTAGCGCTAATGATTACATTATGTGTCTATTCTCCCATAATCTCATTGCTTTGAGTTTGTTGTTGGTCTTTGCTTTAAAGAGAATAATCCAAGTAATCCTTCACTTTTACGCCCAAACTGAATCTATTTTAAAAACAACTAACTATTATTTTCATTATTTACTCGATTACTCGAGTTATTTTGTCTATAAAATGTCAGATAATCAGATTTTCCCAAAGCCCAAAAAGATGTCCTCAAATGTCTCATTTGTCCACAACTCAAAGATATTCAGTTTGCTGTCACGAAGGAGTAAAGAAACCTGAAAATATTCACATTTAAAAAGCTGAAATCTGAGAAACAAATGTTTCTTTACCGATTAATCGATTATCAAAATAGTTGATGATTAATTTAACAGTTCGATTAATCAATTAATTGTTGCAGCTCTAATAGCAATAGATATTATTATATAATAGTTATTTTCAGTACATTGAAATAAATGTGGTAACTAGAACCATATAGAGTTCCTTGGCTTGTCCCCATAGGAGAACCCTTTTAGGTTTCTGTTCCACCTGGAACCATTTCAGGGGGTGGTGCCTAGAATCTAACGCGAAGGATTATACCTAAAACCATCTGTGAAAGGTTCCACCCAGATGAGAGGTTTTTACAGACAACCCTTCTATGGTGTAATGGATCCACCTAAAAGTCTTTCTGGAGGTTCTTTCTAGAACCTTTCCACCGTCGAAGGGTGCTAACAAGAAGATCTTTTACCAAGATCCTGTTATATCCAAGGCTTTTATCTAGAATCCACCCAGGGTTCCTCGTGAGGCTCCAAGGTGCTCAACCCACAACAATCCTGGTTCATAATCACTGGGAGGATCTTTAAAATCTTTCAAAAATCCTTGAAGAACTCTTTCTTCCAAAAAAGGGTTCTTTGGATGAAAATCGAACACTTCTCAAGAACCTGTTTGGAAACCTTATTTCTAAGAGTACATCTGCAGCAGATAGTTATTTTTGCTGTCAGATTACAGCACCTACATTATTTGTAATCCATTTCCCCCCTCAAACGCACTGTGTGTAGTGTACCGTATGTCTTTTACACATTTAAGCCACTTACCATGTCTACCTCCGATATACTGTCCAAGCTCTCCACCTGAACATCCACTCCAACGGGGACAGCTGGACCTGCAGATACATATCAAACAGATGCACATAGATTAGAATATTTCAGGCCCCTCGTCTACCTCAGTTTGTTTTGAAGTTACATCTTTAACTTATCAGAACCAGGTAGATCTGAAGAGAAATATAGCTCCTGGGTTATGTCGTTAAATAGCACTGGGAACCGGCTAAAGGCACTTGCTTTCGATGGAACGAAACAGGGTGAAACAACAAATGATTGGTTGACGCTGTCATTGGAGTGCCGAAAAACAATTGCACACGGCCTCAGCTGGAGCATATCAACAGAGGGGTTTGGGATGTACAGTTATATGGAAGAGTATCCTTATCACAGATTCCCACACCCTTGTGTCATGATTTTATTAAAGGCACATTGACGGCTGTAGTATTAATCTGAGCAGCGAGGGTGCCAGCGTTACGCAACTGGTGGCCCAGCAAAGCTGCTACCTGGAAGAGGGGGCGTCAACTCGTGCCCAGTTCCAGCTGTCGGCAGAGTGTCCTCCCTACTCGTGCTCACACCATATGTTGCATATCACGAGCCAGATTCAAGCAAGGCTTTGAGCTCCTGTTGATGTGTTGCCTCAGTGGACGTAGCACCAGACACCTGCTGAGAAAAAAAAAAGCCTGGAACAGCAATGCTTCCAGCCCTCCCTGCAGCTTGATCACAGGAGGCCACAGCCGGAAACCAATCGGAGTCCGTAAGGACACAAAAAAGCTCTGCCCTAAATTAGAGGGTCTGTTTTCTGTGCAACAATGTTCAAAATGTTGGCTTCAGATCGAGGCTGAAAAACGGAGGTGTGTGTGTGTGTGTGTGTTCACACGGGACAATCAGACACACATGAAATGTCCTGCGTGTGGTTTTGCCAGAAGATTTCCGTTTGCTATTTTCAGCTGACAGCATCAGCGAATTATTCCACGTCACCGATCATCAGATGAGACCCACGAATGCGTCACAGAGATGCTCCGCATCATAATTCCTGCTGGCCCTCGTAGCCCTCGGTAGCACTTCCGTGTGGCCTGTTTTCAAATGGGGCATGAAGGGAGAGTGTTGCCAGCCTGTGTTTTCCCCCACAAAGCATGAACACCACAACACCGAGCATCAACATCACAGAGGAGCAACCACTATAAGTCAAAGTTAAAATGCTAAAAGCAGCCTCTTTATGGGCGCATGCAGCGTGCAGAAGAGCCGTACTGATAGTTTCACGGTTCTGCTTTCCTGAGAGCCCGGCTAAACCCCAACGGCGTCATTTAACACCACGACGTTCTATTTATAATGGGATTACCGTCAAGGCGAAAACAAAAGCACACAAATTATATGCAATTACAACGGAACCTAAACTTTATTAGCTACACGTGGGGGATTTATCCAGCTACTGCATTTTTCATCAGGCTAATTATTTGAGTCACTGTGTGTTTAGACTTTTGTTCATCCCTGTGGGTGAAATTTCATAATGTGTCTAATTAAGAAAGTTACACTTGTAGGCTACATAATGAACATTAATTTGAGAAAATACAGGATTTCAGTGTTAGGGAGGGACTATTATTTTGATGTGTACCAGCAGATCTTCAGGCATATTAAAGACATATTAAATTAGGCTATAGAGGAATATTTCACTTGTGAAGGCAGTTTTTCATCCTGTTTTTCTACTTTCTACTAAACTAATGAAACTTTCTGAGCCGGCATATAGCAAAATAAAAATAAAGAAATAAAAGGGCCAGTTCCCCCAAGCAGGGCCGGATTCATCCATTAGGCGCCTGAGGAGAAAATGAGCTGTGGGCCCCCCGATGGCCTCGTTCCTTCAAGTGCTCATTATGTACCGTGCACACCAGAAGACACTTGGCAGCTTTGTCATAATTTTCCTATAATACATTATATATTACCCCAGATAGTACTGCTTCGCTGGAAGTTTGAAGTGTGTGAAATCAATTTGTGGTAATTTGATCAACAATTTATACAAAATATCTCATGTAGGGTCCATCGGCTAGACAGAGCCTGAAGTCCCTTTTCATTTCTATTAAGACTCTGATTTAGTGGCACATACAGTACTCTCTAACAAATTAGTCAAATCACTACAGACCAACTTGCCCGTGAGGTCCAGGGTTTCAGAGCAGCCATGCAGGATACTGTAGTTTTGGTTTTGTGTGTCCAGGTTTGAAGACATCCATCTATGAGACTTCTGCTACCACAGTTTGCATCTGGTCTGCCTAATTTCCTGTCATGTCTACATTGTCCACTATCTAATAAAAGCATCAAATACCCTAAAATGTTATTTGAAAAACTGCTGCAGCCTTTAAAGAAATAGTTCAGTATTCAGTGTGTTTTGGTTTGTGATATTACAAGATCAATATCAATATTTAGGGCTCAGACATCTCTGAGACAATTCCTCTCTACACCTGAACACATACAACCCATAAAACTACCTGAATGGATAGATTCCACTACAGGAAGTGAGAAAATGGCTGCGCGTGTAATTCAATTTATATAATATAATATTAATTATTTTATATAATAGTCACGTGAGTCATTAGTCAGTCATGTCAGGTTTATAGTTAGGGCTGACTCAGGTTTATAGTTAGGGCTGGCT